AAGAAGCGCAACTTTCTTCTGGCCAGTGTAGTGTAAACAAAAATCAGTTTATCAAATGGAATTGTATTATTGTTTTGTATGTGTTAAAATATTTTTTATGAAAAAAGGTTTTATGTCCAATATAGCTCTATTACTGTATAAGTGCAGAAATCAGTAGTTTCCACAAGACCCTCGATCAAATAGATGTTGCCTGACGCAGTTGTGGGGGAGTTCGGGCCAAACACAACAGTTAAACATGCGATTTGAATGCGTTTCTATGGATCACATGAATGATTGGAAGGATCGGGGCCTCTACTGGTGTTGAAACACGGAAGAAGATGTGATCCTGTAATCCTATTGAGCGAGTCCGATATTCTCTCCATTTTCAGATATGTTAGTAGGGGAAGACCAAGGGGGGATGTTCACCTGACCACCCTTCCCCCATCTCCCCTCACACCATCTTTTCCATCATCCCCACTCCCCACCCATCCTATGCTTCCTACTCTCAATATGTCTTCTCCACTTACATTTCTCACCTTGCACGCACATACCTCACACCACATCTCAATCAAACTATATTCCCGATCATATTAGTTTTTCTTCTCCCTATTCTCCTCTCTCCAAACTCTATATCAATCTCCTTCTTCTTCTCAACATTCCTCCCCACCCACCTTTTCCATCTGTCTAAGCACACATTACAAGTCGCATTCTTTTCATTAAACATTCCCAATTCCTTATTACATCCACACTGTCCACACCTTCTCTTCTCCACTTCCTCACCTCCACCCTGAGCATTCTCAATATGCGTATTTGTTTTCTTATGCTTCCCCCATCCACTTTTCCTCACATTGCACTCACACACCTGACAATACACATTCTCAAACTTATCACCTTTCATCTCCTTAGTACCTATTGCTACTATCCCTTTAAGTATTGGTCAGGTGAACATCCCCCATTGGTCTCTCATAGAAAAAATTAGAATAGTAAATATCTAGTTTATAGCATTATATAAATATTTATCTGATCAACTCTTCTGGGATTATGTATAATTCCTTCTGATTAAACAATGTATAGTTTTCAAGTTTTCAGGCCATGTTTCCTTCCTATTGCTAGGTGCCCTTTGTGCTGTTTCCCTATGCCTATTCCCTTCCATTTGTACGCAGTTCTTTTTACATAATGGTTTAGGTGTCCAAGTTTTTATATGTGTCCAAAGTCTGGTGCGTTTTCTGTATGCCATTCCATCTTTACAATAATCAACATCAAAAAACAAAGTTTTTCATAAACTCTTGCTCCTTCAAAAGTCCGGTCTGGGGGGTTTTCAACGAAAACATTTGGATCAAAATAGTTTATTATGTCAATAGCTTTCTTCACTGTTTCATTTGCTTCATCAATTTTTCTAGTGCCTGTTTGTTTTGCTATGATGTATTCAGTGCAAGGCGGGGATGACCAAGTAACATCAAAGTCGTTGTCAAATTTATTATAATCAAATTTCAGAATATCCTCATTGATACTAGCATTTTTAAGATCAAGTGATATAATAGTATAACCAAGTTCTTTAACAATTCTTCCAACACTACCTGTGCCTGAAAATATAGGGGTTCACGAAATGATGGCACAAGTAAAATGGTTGAAATATGCCATCAAAGATTAAAGATTTCAGCGCAAAATTGAGCTTTGACAATAGGAACACTCAAATGACATACCAATACACTGAAGCAATGGCAGGGCCGCTGTGAGAGCGGGGTTCTTTGAGAGTGCTGGGGTTGCATTCACAAAAGAAAAGTAAAAGAGAGGGAGGAAGGCAAGCAGGGAGAGAGGGAGGGAGGGGGAGGAAGGGAATGAGGAAATGACATGCACTAACACAGGAACAGCATACTGAGAGGAGAGGACCATTATATACAACAATGGTAGGTCCGCTGCGAGAGCAGGGCACAAAGCAAAAGGGAAAGAAGAGGCAGGGAGTGAGGAAGGGAGGAGAATGAAATGAATTGAACATAGGAACGCTAAGATGGCACACCACACACAAAGAGAGAGAGAGAGAGGGAGTTACAGAGAGTGAGAGAGTGAGAGTGAGAGTGAGCTAGTCTCATACTAGAATCCAGCAAATGGAATGAAGTCCAAGAGAAGGAACAAAGGAAAGAAACTATACAGACAGGAAAGGACACCCCCAAAAAAACACACATATAATATATATATATATATACGTATATAAGATGAGATAAGGCGCCTGCTGCACAGGCTACCTTATTTGATCTTGGTTAAGCCTTTGTTCAGGGAGCCGCGGTGGGAGAGAGAAAGAGAGAGAGAGGAACCAACATAACTAAGGACGTCCTGGAACCCCTGGCAAGTAATTGAGGTATGTCCAAACAGGCTAAAGGGCATGAAAAGAATACTAAATAGAACGGCAAGGATAAAGGCAGTTGAAAGGATGCGAGGAAAGAGTGGTATGCATTGAACATAGGAACGTTAAGATGGCACGTGAGGAAATGATATGCACTAACGCAGGAACAGCATACCGAATGGAGAGGACCATTATATACAACAATGGTAGGTCCGCTGCGAGAGCAGGGCACAAAGCAAAAGGGAAAGAAGAGGCAGGGAGTGAGGAAGGGGAGAAGAATGAAATGAATTGAACATAGGAACGCTAAGATGGCACACTACACACAAAGAGAGAGAGAGAGAGGGAGTTACAGAGAGTGAGAGAGTGAGAGTGAGAGCGAGCTAGTCTCATACTAGAATCCAGCAAATGGAATGAAGTCCAAGAGAAGGAGCAAAGGAAAGAAACTATACAGACAGGAAACCTACAGTGCATGACACTCTTTGGGCTGCTGGATGGAAAAGGTTTTTTGCGGAAACTGAGTTTCTGGTGTGGGAGAACTGGAAAGCGTCGACAGAGAGAGAGAGAGAGGGAGAGAGAGAGACCAGCAAACAGAGTACAACACCCTTAAGGCCTGCAACAAACAATAAGATGGCATACCAGCCAAACGGCTCTAGTAGATTACAATGCCGATCCCCCCAAGCATCAACTGACCACTATGATGGCACACATGGCCCTTTCAGATCCTCGATGTGTTTCATCAAAAAGTGCATATATGCCATGTATTGTCTCGATTCCTGTGTGCCATCAAAGTGTGAACCTGTATAATTGTTATAATTTCATAATAATATGTTGTCATAGAAAATATATTATCATGAGTATGTTTCAGTGTCTTCATCATAATCAATTTTGTAATATTGTATGGTGGTCTCTTTAGGTTGTTTTATTATTTTTGAATTCAACATTTCTAAATACTGCTTCCTTTTAGTTTCAAAGTCCCCTACTGGTCTACCTATGCTTTTCTTTTCAGATGCTTCTCCATTTTCCTTAAATCATTTTTTCTCATTAGTCTTTTCATCAATGGTTTTTAACAACTGTAAGATCAATTTAAGACTATTATTATATCTGTTCATTTTCTTTATCAGCTCATCAATTTTATCAGTATTATCTAAAGTAATAGATCCACCATCATCGTTTGAAACTTTCATAGTCTTATCTTATCACTCTTGCTGATTTTAAAGCTATATGGATTACACTTACACTTTTTGCCTTTAGTGTTGATTTCAATTTCATTCTCAGTTGTAGTTTTCCCTGGCATAAAGGACAGTCAATGGTAATGAATTTGCTTGTTAGTTTTTGTTCTTCATCTAGTTTTATTGTTGTTGGTTCTTCATCTGATAGTTCAAACTCTTCGGGGATTTGTGTTTTATTCATCTTTGTTTTTTTTTCTTTTTTGGTGGCATGTATATTACATTTTAGATAAGTAATTATCAATTTTGACATTTCCAGTGAGTATTTACAACACTGCTTAAGTTTAGTATCTTTAACAACTGGATATTTAGCACTATCATTTTTTTTCCATATCATCTCTTCCTGTTATATAAGCATCATGTTCAGATAGCGTCATAATATATAACTATAATTAGATATATAATGCTTTAACACCATCTAATTATGTAGTGCTTGGGAGAACACCAAAAACGAATTCAACTGTAAGGGCAAAAAATCCATTGCTGAAAAGCAAACTAATTACCGACTTATGCGGATTAGCGTAGCCTCACCTACCGCACTCTGTCCATAGGAGATCTGCTAATATTTAATAATGTGTTCTATGTAATTTTATTAATAGATGAATAATAACACCGCACCACATATTCAACCTATCAAAGAAATCAATTATGAATTCACTCAATCAAAATATGCTGTTGCCTCTAAAGTGCCCTTTAGATCAATCATAACCGGTCCGTCTGGTAGTAGCAAATCAGTGCTACTAACAAACATGAATATGGACACCTACAAGGAAGTTTTTCAAGGGTGTATATCTGGTCACCTTCAATAAATGTTGATAGCATCTGGTTGCCAGTCAAGAAATACATAAAGGAAGAAATGAAAGTGAACACTGGTAAAGAGCAGGTTTTGTTTGAAGACTTTCACAGTGAAGATTTAATGAAAGTCATTGAAACACAACATAGAATAACTGAATACAGTAAAAAAAACATAAATAAAAAAAAACAATCCTAATAGTCTTGGATGATATAGCAGATGATCCCAAAATAGCAAGATATTCAAACATATTTGATTCCCTTTATGTAAGAGGTAGACACAATGGTATTAGTGTTATAACATCTGTTCACAAATTTAATGCACTGACTACACTGATAAGAGTTAATGCCACACACCTATTCTTCTACAAGGTCAGCAACTTTAAAGAAATAGAACTGTTTCAAAAAGAACTATCAGCAATACCTAGAAGAAAAGAAACAATATCCAAGAAAGTAAGCAGGTCTTATATAAACTTTATGAAATAGCCACTGAACAGCCACATATGTTTTTAGATATTAATCTTCTGGAAAAGGATAGGAACAAGATGTTTATGATCAATTTTTCACACTATTTGCAAATTGATGATTGATAATGTTAACTATGTTAATATGATCAATCTTTATACCAATGAAGGAGCACAAATATTATAGCAGGTAGTTTATACATAATCCTATTCGATTTCAGGATGTGAGCAGCTGGGAAGGTTCGTCAAGGGTACACATTCTATCACGAGCGAAATGAACCCCAAAGGTCCCTACCACATATATTATATATATGTTTATCATATATTGTACCAATGAAAAAGAGAAACAATTCTCCGAAAGGATGCACCTGAAAAATAATGTCCAACAGTTCAAAGGCACTCTACTCCTTCCGCGGACATCGGGGGATCTGGTCCAAATTTCCCCGGTGTTCGTCCCCGGTCGGCTGGGAACCCCCGACAGCCGCGGAGGCCTGGCGGTGAGACATGGTCGGTGGGAACCGCTTCGGACCCGAGGGGATGCTACCTAAGAGCGATGGCCTCCAACCTATTATTAGCAAGAACGTGCTCAGGGGTAGAGGTTCCGCGGCTTAACCTTCGACCCTCCATGGAATCAAGGAATCAAACGCTTCAAAACTCCCAAGCGCAGGAAAGTTGCATTCGCGCCAAAAAGGTGTTCACAACAACTAGTCAAAATCCTGAAGGGCTGAGGAGATCTCATTATGAACGCCAATGTAATTTACAGTATAGGATTCATCTCATCTGCGAATGATCTTCTTACACACAGTAAAAAGAAAGACCTTCTAAATCCCCCGAGAGGTCGTTGGCAGACTGGAAAAACAGAGTGTAGCATTGTACTGCACTACCCCCCAAATCCAAGTGAAGCACGTTGATTCAAAACATGTTGAACATCTGGGATGCAAAGACATGGGCGGCTCTCCACTTCCGAACTCTGGTTGACCGGCCTGAAGGACCCATGCGGGACTGGCGCATGTCCTCGACCTGCTGGTCCAAAGGCCGCGGTCGGTCGAACAACCCGAGGGATTCCCCGCAGGGGTGAATCAACCCCCTCGATCTCCGATCTCCAAAACCTCGCGACGTTTGGAAAAGTGTTCCCCCAAATGGTCGTTGTTCTTCACATTCACTCGCGACGCAAAGCAAGCGCGGCCGGCGAAGAGAAAGATCACCACGGCTTCGGTCGCGCACTCGACGACAGGACGATTCAAAAATCACCGAGACCGGCTTGAAACCAGATGGTTTCAAATGAGAAATAGTGCAGACTGATGAGATTTCAACCCCAAGACTATGAAGAGATCTTACATGGCGTAGAAGCATCATGGACCCGCAAGGGAGTGCATCCATGTCTTGGGGAAAGTTCTTGGAAAAACAAAGGTCTGAGTCTAAAATTCGAGCTCAAGAGCTCAAAAATCGCATTAGCAAGCATCGCAGATTTAGCAAAGCATTGGAACATAGAGAAACAACGAGAAACACCAACGTTTTGTGTAATTATAGATGTGCTTTTGATCTGGGTGAAATCCCCTGATTGATCCCATTTGTCTCTCTCTCTCCTCTCTCTCTGTGTTCCCTTGCATCCATTGATTTCAGGGTTGAAAAAAGAACGAAAAAGACCAGGCCTTTCTCCCACACAAACCTGTTTGTCTCCGCAAAATCTCGGTCGTCCGAAGTCCAAAGGCCTTGGTCCACTCTTGATCACTGCTGGCCATCGTCGACGACTTGGTTTGGGACGCCTCCCGGACCGACGACGGCGTCGGTCGAGCAAAGGACATGAGCCGCGGAAAGGGGAGTTGGGGGCAACCATGCTGGGGCCCTAGAAGTCTGGAACCGTGGAAGGCTGTAGAGGAGAATGATAGAAGTAGATCAAAGGTTGAGCGAGATAATGAATCCAATGACCCAGGCGACGTAAGGGAGTCCCAAAGAAAACCCATCGAGCAAGGAATCTCTGGTCCAGCAGCTTCCAGGACCTGACTATCAGGATATGGAAGAATCAGTTTTTCTGTTTGAAGACTGTGACTCAGCCACATCTGCAACGCTGAAGGGAGGCCTCACAAAAATGCTATGAAACTTCTGCCAGCTCTTGTTCTGGGACACATCTTCATGGAGTTCAAAGGGAATGGCAAAGAGTTTCCCTGAAACACCACGATTGTCCAGAGGTCCCACTGCATATCCATCCATTCCCAGCTTTTTGTGGACCTAGCTTCCCTTGGCCGCTATAGAGCCCATCCCAAACCCGTCCTGCGCGGGTTGTTGTTTTACTATTTTCGAGTCGAGCTCAAATGCTGCTTGAAGCGAAGAGCATCAGGTCGAGGGGTGGATCCTTTTTTCTGCTCTAGGGGTTCTGTCATTCTGTCCGCACTGAATCCAGAAAAACCTGTTAAACCTTTGGACCTAAGACTGGACTGGTTGAAGCTGCAAGGTCAGGAGACACAGGGCAACGTATATAGCTCCGCTAGCCTTTTCTGGAGGAGCTGTATCGAAAAACGGAAAGTCGCCGAAACCACAACAAAGGAAAGTAGACCGTGGCCCAGTTGTTCGCGCCCCCATATTGAGATCGACCGATTTCTTAAAGCCAAGTAATTCGACGGTACCAACTCCCAAGCCTTAGCCTGCCAATCTGACATGTGGGTCACAACGACGACGAGCTGAACGAAGAACCTCTGAGGCTTGGAATATCTTCTTCCCAACTCGCTGGGGGAGGCCCGGTGAAGCCCCCCATTCTGAGCAAACCTAAGTGAGGGGGAACACCTCGTCGCCGCCCTTTGCTCGGTTTCAGTCGCAGCAAACCGCCGTGTCACGCCGTGTCACGCCGTGAGCTCGCCGCCTTTTTGTCACGCCACACGGCTTGCTCCGTGGACGGCCCCAAACAGGCTTTGCTTCCAAATCCCGGTCAGTGACCAAGATTCCATGAGAATATCGCGGCTTTGCGCTGGAGCGCAGCTCTTCAAATGCTAGCCGGACAGATTGAGGATTTCGTTGAAATTGGTGTAGAAATCAATACGACTAGAAGGTCCCAAGGGTGAAGGAGAAATAAGCAAGCTGAATTCCAAAAGAATGGCTGCATCAACACAATCTCTATTTGGGGAATACTTAAGAGCCCTTTAGATCCTGCATCTTGCGGTATACCCTCAAAACCACGTCATGAAGCTTGAGTGTCTTTCAAACCAATGAGCCTCAAACTGTGTCGCTGGTAGGAGGAAGAGTGGAAAAGCTCAACAGGTCCTTTGGGAGGTTCTCATTTTGCGATACAACTTTATGGACATGATGTAGCCGCTGCTTACCTTAGGTTCTGGGTTCACAATGACTCAAAACCAACTTCAGTCATCTTCTTTCAGGGTCCTCACCAAAAATCACCCATACATAATCTGTCTTCTCATGTCTGGCCAAATAACCTGCATGATGCTTCCAAATCAACCTAGGATGTGCCGCTTTTCCTTTCATATGTCAATCTGAAAATCCCTCGACTGCCTTTGAGATCTGCTCACCGCAGCTGTGCCCATCTCTCAGACAACGAGGCGCTCGGGGTCGCGCACGACTTGACTCAGCGACCATGGAGCGCCTCGCAAGTGACTTTCCGGGGAGAATGGAGACACATAGGGTGGCGGATTTTCTCCAGGTTGGAATTTCAGGCCGATGTCCTAAAGAGACGACTGTCTCTGCCTGCAACCCGTATGCTATCCGGCGAACGAATGGATCCAAGGCGAATTTCGGCCGTTCCCACTCATGTGAGCTACGCTTGGATTCGATCCTAAACCCCTCCACGTATCGCACCTTTGGGCCCGCACCCTACATACGGACCTCCGCCTTTGACAGACTTTTGGAATCCACATACACTCCCTGAGAAGGATGATACACTCATCCTCACTTTTCCCCTACAAACAGGCGGCTTTCCACTTCCAGGATTTCTGGGATCCACCGTTTCGTTCAGGCGAGCAGGCCTCGCAGGCCTCGCAGGCCTCGCAGGCCTCGCAGGCCACGGCCAGGCCTTGGCCGAATCCTGTCGCCACGCCCTTAGATGATCATCTGCACCTGCGGAGGAAAGACGGCCTTCTTGGAGGGTGTTGCCACCCTTCTGTTGCGTGGACCTTGCACAAGGTAAGGAACCAAGAAGAGTCGAAGAGGCGTTCTCTGATTCACCTGAACCTGCAGGTCAACGAAAGGTTTATGGAGGAAGAGTACAGTAGTTCCTGATCTCCGCGATTCCAAGTGCCATGGTCACATGAACCATCCAAAAGAACTCCCAAGCTCAAATCCTCTGTAGATAAAGATTGATCTGTTCGCTTCTGCAGTGTCCTCACCCTCCTCCCCTGCACTGTCCTACTCCTCACCTCGGAAGGAAGAAGCTGCAGTCCCGGTGCCAGTGCGGCGCCAGAGGCAGGATAGGTGCCTGTTTCGGCTCCAACTCATGTCACCAGTAAAACGAAGACAGCAGTTCCAGATCGCAGCAACTTGACAGACAAAAGGTAAAAGGACAGGAATCGCCCAGCAAAGGTGCGAAATGTGTAAATCTTGAAGGATCTTCAGCAATTTATGGATGGCCACCTAATTAGCCCCTGAGCTCTTGGAGGTTTGTGCACGGAACTCTCCACTGTAACTTGTATTACAGTGGCCCCCTACGCCATATCTCAGGAAGTACGTGTCGTTTCCAATCCCCGAGCCCAACAAGCAAGTGCTTGAAACTTCTGACTCAAAGCCGCACGCCCCCTAGCCAGCAAAAACCCAAAATGGAACGCAAATGAGCCACAAATGTGTCCAACCGAGCGGCAGAGACCCACGCCCATGATCTTCTCACAGGAGCCAAGGCCTCAGTCCCCAGTCCAGTCCACTCCCCTCCGCGTCCCCGTCCCATGCATTCCCCATTTCATGTATCCCAACTACCAACTGCACCACCAAGGCACCGCAGTCAGAGTCAGACTGGCAGATCAAAGCGCAGTACTTGTCACCGGTGGTGGTGCGCAGGGCGCACTCCGGAGTGGCTGAGTCACCCTTGGGGACGTCACTAGGGCAGCTGCCGGAACTGCTGCACTTGGGACTGCAGAAGTCTCCAGACAAGCCCTGAACACGCACCGCTTGCTCATCAGACTCGCAGCCGGTCTTGGGGTTGCCATAGTGGCTTGGGTTGGTTGCAACTGCCACCTGCCACTATGACAGTCAAAAACATGGATGCCGATCTGTCTTGTCAGGAAAACACCACTAGCAAAACTTTCAGATTTGGTCCCACATATGCTCCGTGAGAAGTTGCTTTTGTAAAGTACGGCTGGGAAACAAAGAGCAATTGACCAATAAATTTCCCCATTCAAGTCCTGTTAGAACACTGCTCGCCTGAGTCATTGTCGTTTCCATGCCAATCTTCTTTGTCGCGTCATAAGTGCAAAGACCGACGCCCATAATCTTCTGGCAAGACCCTGTTCCTCAGTCACACAAAAAAATCTACAAAAAAACAATAAAAAATACTTGTTGTCGCACTTTGCCCGCATATGAAAGTATATCCTGCAATAGCCAATTCTCGATGCAAACAAGGCGCCGCAGTCAGAGTCAGACTGGCAAATCAAAGCGCAGTACTTGTCACCGGTGGTGGTGCGCAGGGCGCACTCCGGAGTGGCTGAGTCACCCTTGGGGACGTCACTGGGGCAGCTGCCTGAACTGCTGCACTGGGGACTGCAGAAGTCCCCAGACAAGCCCTGAACACGCACCGCTTGCTCATCAGACTCGCAGCCGGTCTTGGGGTCACCGTAGTGAGTGGGGTTGGCTGCAATGGCCACCTGCAAAGTTTCAAGCAATCATATTGATACAGTTGTTGGAAATCCCTGGCATCAAAAAGAATCAAGCTGCTTAGCAAGTTGCAAATGAAAGTTTTCAGCCAACTGCTAACATGCAAGACGCGCAAAGCCCCGGCCAGCCTGAGTCATCGAGGCTTCCAGGGCCATCTTGTTGGTGGCGCTGTAAGTGCACAAACCAACGCCCATGATCTTCTGGCAGGACCCAGTGCCTCACCACATGTCAGACTAGATACCAACTTGCTGAATAAATGTCCAAGACCCATCTTGCAGTGTGACGCTGATTTGTGCTTTGCTGGGCGGCGCAGAAGACCAAACAACAAACTGGAGCCCTGATGGCCCGAAAGCTTCAAGCAACGCGTGCACAGAAATATTGTTTTTTCCTTTGTGACATCGCCAAGTGTGACATCGCCAAGCAGCCCAGTGCGCACAAAAATTCGCATGTCACCTCAGGATCCTGAGAGAGGGCTCCGCCAGCGCCGGCAAAATTCGCACTTCCCTACACGTTTGGGCACTCGGCGCCGGATCCTGCGAGAGGGTCGCGCAAGCGTGGTCAAAATTTGCACTTCCCTACACATACACTGGACGCGCTGGATCCTGCGAGAAGGTCACGCGAGCACCGGCAAAATTCACATTTCACCATACGTTCGAGCACGACACACACGACCCTGTGAGAGGGTTCACCCCAGAACCCTCCAGAACCGACCAAAACTGCACATCGCTACACCTTTGGACACTCGACACACCAGATCCTGCGAGAAGGTCGCGCAAGCATGGGCAAACTTCGCGCTTTGCTGCATGTTTGGGCGCTCGACACGCTCGCAGGAGGGTTCGCCACCACCCAAGAAAATTCGCGCTTTGCTACACGTTTGACCACTCGACAGGCAGGATCCTGCGAGAGGGTTGCTTCTCGCGATCTCTCGCTCGGTCCGCCCCGGCTTTAACGATAATTGAAAGGTTGAAAAGTCAAGAACAAAAGCTATTTTTGGAAGTGCTAAAACTTGGTCAAGTCTCTTGCAAATGCTAAAACTTGATCAAGTCTCTTGCAGGTGCTAGTGCAACATTCTCACAGGTGCTAAAGCCTGTGCATAAAGCCTGTGCAAAAGATTCTTACAAGTGCTAAAGCCTGAGCAAAACTCTAACAAGCGCTAAAGCCTTTGCAATATTTTTACAAGTGCTTAAAGCCTGAGCTAGACTCTGGCAAATGAAGTCGTAGATATGTCAGGCCAAGTGCCTTTAGTAAGAGCCCTTCAACCAAGTCTTTTGGGAACAACCAAACTCCCGTGATCATGACTCTCAGTGCAGTCGAGGCACCGCAGTCAGAGTCAGACTGGCAAATCAAAGCGCAGTACTT